TTAATTCATAGGTTGATGTCCCAATGAGAGCAAATGCAAATATTTTTATTACAGCCACTCAGTAATAATTCAGTCTTAAACTCAATTTTTATATACTTTAAAAAGTGTCTTCACAGTCTGAAGGGTTAGATCCCTGTACCAGCCCAGCTGCCAAAAAAAGTGTCTTCTCAGTGTTCTGGATTTTGACCAATCTAATGGGTGTGTAGTGGTATCTTACTGTTGTTTTGATTTGCAAATACAAAATATTGGCAAAGATGTGGAGCATCAGGAACTCTTTCATTGCTGGTGGGAATACAAATTGGTACAGCCATTTTGGAAGACAGCATGTGATCCAGCAACCATGCTTCTTCGTATTTACCCAAAGGAGTTGAAAACTTACGTCCACACAAAAACCTGTACATGGATGTTTATAGCAGCTTTATTCATAATCGCCAAAACTTAGAAGGAATCAAGATGTCCTTCAGTAGGTGAATGGATAAACTGATATTATTCCATGCTAAAAATAAATAATCTAGAAAGCCATGAAAAGACATTGAGACATAGTAAATGCATATTAGTAAGAGAAAGAAACCAGTCTGAAAAGGTCACATACTGTATGATTCCAACTGTATGACACTGTGAAAAAGGCAAAACTATGGAGACAGTAATAAGATCAGTGGTTGCCAGGGGTTAGGAAAGAAGGAGGGATGAACAGGTGGAGCACAGAGGATTTTTAGGGCAGTGAAACTACTCTGTATACTATAATGGCAGATACATATCTTTATAAACATTTGTCCAAACCCATGGAATGCACAACACCAAAAATGAACCCTAATGTAAACTAAGGACTCTGGGTGATATGATGTGTCAGTGCAGGTTCATCAATTGTACACTATGGTGGGATGTTGATAGTGGGGGAGGCCATCGTGAGTGGGGGCAGGGTATATATGGGAAATCTCTATACCTTCCTCTCGATTGTGCTGTAACTTAAAACTGCTCTTAAAAAAAAGGTCTTTAAAAAAAATGTCTTTGTGGCCCAGCCTCTCTTAAACTCATTTAGAGGAAAGACCTTTCACATTTCTTTGGCCATTAGCTGGGTCCATGGTCAGAAATTACCCTTTCTGGGGGCCGGCCCGGTGGTGCACTGTAGTGCGCCGCTTGGGAGCGCAGTGGCGCTCCCACCGAGGGTTCGGATCCCACATACAGATCGGTTCCCATGAACTCCACATACAGATCGGTTCCCGCTCACTGGCTGAGCGAGGTGTGGGCGCAGCACCGAGAGTTGCAATCCTGTTGCCGGTCCCGGTCCAGTACGGGCGCGACACTGAGGGTTGCGATCCGTTGCCGGACACGAAAAAAGACAAAAAGGAAAAAAAAAAAAAAAGAAATTACCCTTTTTGCATTTCAGCCTCGACTGCCTTAGACAAGGCCCAAGTGAAACACGCATTTTTAGTTTTCTGTTTTCCAAAACGGGAAACTCTTTATTTTTTTTTTCCTTTTTATCCTTACTGACCGGTAACGGGATTGTAACCCTCGGTGTTGCACCCGCACCGGGGACCGGCAACGGGATCACAACCCTCGGTGTTGCGCCCGCACCGCGCTCAACCAGTGAGCGGGAACCGGTCTCCACATGGGATCCGAACCCTCGGCGGGAGTGCCGCTGCACTCCCAGGCGGTGCACTCTCCAGTGCGCCACCGGGCCGGCCCCGACTTTATTGATTTTTATGGTTAAAATTACACAGAAGTGTTCAAAGCCTTTCCCCCATTCCTACTCCCTCTAGTAAACATTTAACAATTGAGTGTGCTCCTCAACTTTAAAATTCCATCCTAACGTGAATATTACATATAGTATGTGGCATATTGCTTTTAAGTTCACACTAGCACTATGCATTGCTGTGTCTATTACACACAATTCATCTATTTTTTTCATCCTTATTATTGCCTAGTATTCTGACCATCTTAGATACCTTTCTCCATGCCCCAGATAATAGTTAATTGTTCTCTGTGCTCTTTAGTCATTGCAAACATTTCTGTTGTTGAATCTATTCACTTAATCTTAAATTATTTATTTCCATGTCTATTTCCTTAATCAGAAAGTGAATTTTTCAGAAGCAAAATTTTCGGTTTAGGGCAATCTTTTTTCTCCTTTATTTTTATTTTTAATTTTTATCAGAGTTACACGTCTTTGATTTAAAGTCAAATAATTCTTTTAAAATTTATTTTAATTTTTATTTGAACTTACTCATTGTAATTGTACATAATTATGGGGTACAATGTGATGTTTTGATAAATGTATAGATTGTAAAATAACCGGGTCAGGGTAGTAAATGTATCAATCATCTCATCCATTTATCATTTCTTTGTGGCGAAAACATTCAAAAGCCTCTCCTCTAGCTATTGTGTAATGTAGAAAACTTAACTGTTAACCATAGTCACCCTACTGTGCAATAGAGCACCAGAACTATTCCTGCTGTCTAATTGTAATTTTGTACCTGTTGGTCAGCTAGAGTCAAATAATTCTGTAGAAACTTTGGAAGATGGGCAATGAAACAGCATGGACTGTATCCCCATCCCTCCCCTCACCTGTTTTCACCTTTTCTTTTTCTTTTTTTTTTTTTTTTAAAGATGACCGGTAAGGGGATCTTAACCCTTGACTTGGTGTTGTCAGCACCACGCTCAGCCAGTGAGCGAACCGGCCATCCCTATATGGGATCCGAACCAGGGGCCTTGGTGTTATCAGCGCCACACTCTCACGAGTGAGCCACGGGCCGGCCCTGTTTTCACCTTTTCTTTTTCTTTTTTTTTTTTTTTAAAGATGACCGGTAAGGGGATCTTAACCCTTGGCTTGGTGTTGTCAGCACCACGCTCAGCCAGTGAGCGAACCGGCCATCCCTATATGGGATCCGAACCAGGGGCCTTGGTGTTATCAGCACCACACTCTCACGAGTGAGCCACGGGCCGGCCCTGTTTTCACCTTTTCAAAGGCAGTCATTTCACTCTTTTTAACTGATTATTTTGATATTTACCTTCTTCTCTCTACATAATATGCTTGTATTGCTATTTTTTGGTTTTTCACTTTTAGGCATTATGTATTGACTTAATAGAAATGAGATTGAGCTCTCCTTCCTTCCCTCTTCCCCACCATACTTCCCATCCCCCCATCTGCCCAATATAGTTATATTGTACTTTTTTGGATTTTTGTTTACTTTATTATAACTAGGCAAATATTATTCACATCTTTGGCAAGTAGGAAACTATTATCCTCTTCCCCACAGCTTTTTGGTTTTTTCTGTCGTTAATAATCATCTTATTTTGGTTTACTATTTATCACTAAACCAAGCTCAAATTCCTTAATGATTGTTTAAATCTCCCCCTCCAGAGGTTGAGATAATTGAGGTGTCCTATCAGTTTTATCTTTCTGAAGGAGTCTCTTATGGAGTCTTCTGACCTGCACAAATCTGTGTAGAGTGCACAGTTGTCAGGGCATCTCACTTTATTTTTCTCCTGGGTTGTATTTTCTGTATTCCTACATCGTAGGTCTTTTTTCTTGGTTTACTCTTTCATTTTAGGGGAGCAAAACCTTCAGTAGCTTCCTGAGAAAGGAGAAGTAAATGAAAGGTACATTTTTTGAGATCTTCAATGTCCGGACATACCTGTATTCTAACCCCACACTTGATTGATAGTTTACTAATCAGGTATAGAATTCTGGTTTTAAATGAATTTCCTTTTAAAATTTGATAGACTAACTCCCCTGTCTTCTAGATTTCTTTATCGATATTGAGAAATCCAAAGAAATTCTTATTCTTGATCCTTTGTAAGTGATCAGTTTTCCTGTGTGGACGCTTAGCGTTGTCTTTATGCCCCAGTTTTCTGTAATTTCACAATGATAAGCTTCGGAGTGGGTCAATTTTTATCAATTGTGGTGGATACTTAGTGGGTCATTTCAATTTGGAAACTCCTGACTTTCAGTTTGGGGAAATTTTCTTGAATTATTTTGTTGATGATCCCTCCCTCCCTAACCTCTGCTCTTTTTTTCTCTTGGAGTTCTTATTTTTTATATTTTGGACCTGCTGTAGTGGTCCTCTTTGTTATCTTTTCTTTCCTATTTTTCATTTGTCTTTTTTCCCCCTCCTAGATTATCTCCCAACTCTTGTTTTCCAACCCTTGAACTTTTTATTTCTGCTATCATAGTTTTTGTCCCTGAATACTCCTTTTAAAACCATATCTTGTTCTTGTTTTATGTTTGCTATTGTAACTCATATCTCAAGGTGCCGACTATATACATTTGTACATGTATGTATTTGAGTTGCGTTTTCTCCTCACTGAATGGTTTGTTTCCTGTATCGGTGACTTTCTTTTTCTTTTGTTTATTTTGGTCTCTCTAGTACTACCTTGCACGTTAGTTTGTTTATGAGGTTGTCAAATCCCCGGGTCCTCTACTTATCTTTTGCTGCTACCTAACTCTCCTTCTTCCTCCCTGGCAAAAGACAGGGTTTTTCCGGGGGTGTCTGCACTGAGCAAAGTACATATTCATATTAGATGCTGAGTCTTTTTCCTGCGTTCAGCTCCCAGAACGCCTACAACCAGATCTGCACCTTCCGGGCAGGATATTGGAGGGTCATTTCTGTCTGGTTAGCTCACTTGGTTAGAGCGTGATGCTGATAACACCGAGGTCAAGGGCTTTGATCCCCGTACTGGCCAGCTGCCAATCAATAAATGAAGATATTGCCATTCATTGGAAATCCAAGCCAAATAACCCTATTTTTTTAAATTTATTTTTATATTTTGGCGTCTGGCCAAAGAACCCTACACCGAAGCTCCTAGTCAACAAGTCCACTCTCTCAGAACACCTGGATATCGTCTAAAATATGATTCCTATTAAATTTACGGCGTGGAGTGGGGGATATCTTCAAGCTCCACCGTTAAGAGCTTCGGTGAAGTGGAGGGGACTTCACCGTGGTTGCGATGGATCGTCTCCCCTTCTTTGAGCGCCTGGGGCGCAGGCGTCCGCTTCCTGAGGTGCAGTCCGGTCCTCCGGCCAGCAGGGGGAGGCACCGCGCACGGCTGGCGGCTGCGCGGACACGGCCTTTCTGGGCCTAGAGGAGGAAACCAGAAAGACGGCGAGAGGAAGTCGCGGTGGCTTTCAGCCCTACAGCCTCCGGGGCTGAGCTGGCATTTGTCGCTGGCTTGAGCCGGACCCTACAGGCCACGCTGGCTGCGCATGGAGCCGAGGACTCTAGCGGAGGAGGGATGCTCTCGGCCGGCGAGGTCGGCGAGGCGCCGTCAGTCCCGGTGAGGCCTCCCTGGTGTCTTGGGGAGGGGACACTGGTGGCCCAGTGAGGTGGCACAGACTTCCCTGGGTAGATAGTCCCGGTGAGGTGGCCCTGGAAGCTTGAGAATGTGGTCCCGCAGCCCGGTATAGAGTCCTTTGCAAGACCTCCCAGGGGAGGTAGTCCCATTGAGGTGGCCCTGGTGGTTCCGGTGAGATGACAGATCTTTCTAGGGAGGTGGTCCGGCGGCCAGGCAGCATAACTCCAGGTCCTGGGGAGTTGGCACAGACCTCGTGGGAAGGTGACAGGGGTCGCGCCAGTGGGGTGGCCCTTTTCGGAACCTTCAGCAGACTGCCCTGGTCCCTTATGAAGGCCCCGGGGGGAAGACGTCTGGGTCGTCTCCGTCCTCCAGTGGATGCCCTTTGAGAGCTCTGTATAAGTTCTGTCTACTACTTCTATATTAATGTGTTTGTCACACCTGTTCCCCTTCTAGTGCTGCTCTGAAAGTGGTGAGGAAAGGAAGGACATCGAGGAGAAAAGTAAGCAAGCTCCAAACACCATTACTCTTTCTGCACAGCCATCCTTCCAGAACTCAACCTTCCAGGGTTGAGTTCTTAGCCTGTTTTCCAGGGTTCTTAGCCTGTCATCTTTTAGATGAAGTATCTTTTTCTGTACAATATGCTTATATAATAATAAATACTGATTATCGTTATGTATATATTTTTGTCTTTCTAAAATTGTAAAATATGGGATGCTTTGGAGAAGAGCACTTTCTGACCCCTACTAGTGCAGGGACTGGTGTGGTTTCACTGGAGGTCGCCCATCATACAGGACTCAGAATATTTGGGCCCTACCTTTTATTTTAATGAAGCATTAGCTTAGTAAGCATTAGGAATTTGGAGGGGCTAATGATCTAGGAGACATGATCACCCCCTTAATTGGGTTTAAAGGAGGTAAATGACAATTGCTTAGTTGTACTTTTACCTTCAGTGAATTTGCAATTAAAAATTGCTCTGGGAAGAGCACAATGGATAACTCCTGGATCTTGGACTGGACAGGGAAGGAGGAAAAGGTTAGTACCTCCATTTTATACCTAGGGACAGGAGCATATGTCAGGGATGTGTTCATTTGTCATTTTACTTTAATGAGCTAAGCATGGCAGGTTATTGGAAATAAAGGACTCTTCGTGGGCCATTTTTTTTTGGCTGCTGGCTGGTATGGGATCTGAACCCTTGACCTTGGTGTTATAATACCGAGCTCCCTGGCCAGCCCCTTAGGGGGTTTTAAAGTGAAATTTGGGGGGGGGGGGGAGGAGGGAAAAGGCATGTAATAGCTCTTCTGTCAGGGAGTTTTTGTTTCTTCTGACTACGATAAAAAGTCTGGGAATGAGTAGTGGTAAGAGAAAGGGTGCCCACATTACCATGTGGCCTTGAGAAGTAAGACTTGCCCTTAACATTGACTACTGATACAATCTGCCTCAGAAAGAAAGCTCTAAGTAGTCCATAGCACTTGACAGTTATAGCTGCCACAACTCAGCTCCTTTTCCTTGAAGGATGTGGGAGTGCCCTCCATATCTTTCAGTTTCCTTCCCTTTCCACCTTTGCCCGATTCATATTCCTGGGAAGTCTGACACCTACTGAGCTGTCATTTTAGTGAAATGATAGATGAAGACTGTCATATCAAGGACTTTGTGCTTGTCCCTCTTTCAGTGGCTAAGTAAACTGCTTTGCAATTAGGAGTGCTCTTTATGGGCCGAGCCCATTGGCGCACTCGGGAGAGTGCGGTGCGGGTTCAGATCCTATATAGGGATGACTGGTGCGCTCACAGCGCTCACTGGCTGAGTGCGGTGCGGCCCGTCTCAAAGAGGACAAAAAAAAAAAAAAAAAAAGGAGTGCTTTTTATAAAAGATAGAAAAGAAGAGACATAAAAACCTCCCAAATTACCAATGTGTCATTTTGAAGAATGTCATTTGACTAAGAATGTACTATGCCACATTTAAATGGTTACACGTAAAGGGTTTAACTTTTTAAAAAAGTCAAGGTATGGGGCCGGCCCGGTGGCGCACTGCTACAGTGCGCTGCTTGGGAAGCATGGCAACGCTCCTGCCGAGGGTTCGGATCCCACATACAGACCGGCCGCTCACTGGCTGAGCGAGGTGCGGGAGCAACACCGAGGGTTGCGATCCTGTTGCCGGTCCTGGTCCGGTACGGGCGTGACACTGAGGGTTGCGATCCGTTGCCGGTCACGAAAAAAAGACAAAAGGAAAAAATAAATAAATAAATTAAAAAGTCAAGGTAGAATTACACCCTAAGGTACAATAACTTTAGTATTTACAAAACATTGTCTGCAGATATGCCACACAAATCACTTGTTTTATTTAAGATAAATAAAAAAGGCATTGTGTGTAGAATAGTAGGTGGATTATTATATAACATAATTATGATATAATATGATTAATGTATAATTTATTATTATATTAATAAAGTTTAGATACAGACCAGCCAATCCTGTTCATATTTGAAGAAGAAGAAAATAAGTATTGAATTGAGAAGAAACATGAAATTTTAGTCCCATTTACAACCTTTAAGTGTACTCTGGGGCAAATGTTATAATTTATTTTATAGTTGGAGAGTCTAATGTTAGTTTTACTTCTCCTACCCGCTAGTGGGCTTCTGGTTTTCGTAGCAGGTGAATAATCTTTTAATTCTTGTAAGTTAAGTAGAAAAAAGAAAATTTGTTTTTTGGGGTATAGGGGAGTGGGAGGAACATACGTGGAACCAAACACAGTGGTATATATTCTGTTAATCTTTACATAAATAATTGAGCAATACCTAAAATTTTTCATTTGCATTTAGGCATATCTTTAGGTAATAATATTTTTATTTTATCTGAAGTGACAGTTGTAATGAGGCTAATTATACCTTCTTGCTTTTCTCTTATTGCTGTTTTCTTAAAACGGCATTTTTATAAAGAGTCAAGTTCTATGATGGACAGCTCCAAGGGAGAGCAGAGGCAAATTTCAATTACTGTTGCTCCCCAGCAGGCCCTGTATTGTTCCCTCAGCTTTATCAAACCTCATGCACACACTTTTTTTTTAACCCCTAGGAACTACGCAAATCTAGAGAGGTTAAACCCGTATGTAGAATAATTCTAGTTATGGATTGAGTATAGTCAATCATATTTAATGACTGCACAGTGAAATAGAGCTACCATTGTGCCAAGTTTGACCCAAACATCAGGTTTCCTAAACTTGCCCAGGAAGAAGGAAACCATGAATAATCAAAAGAAGATAGTTTATGCATGGAAACATATTTCAAAAGGAAACAGTTTATCTTAGCACAGTGGGTGGAGTGGGAGGAGATAGATATGGCAGCCAGCTGTGAATCATGTCACCCGTCCCTTCTTTGCCAAGAAGCTGCTGTGAGTTTCCAGGTTTCTTTGGGGTGCAGGGCACAGTTCAGAAAGCCATCCTGGCACAAATGGTCAGCAAAGTGTAGCTAGGGACACCTGGAAAAGAGGGGCAATGCTGATGGTCCACAAATTTAGGACAGTAGAAAATAATTTAACTGCCTTTGATGTAGATTACGTGCTTACTATAAATTTGTTTTCTTAAGTATTTTAACAAAAGTTGAATTTATCTGTATATTTGAATCTTGCTTCACTTCACAAAGAATTAGAAGTAACTTAAATTACTTAATTATGTCTTAAACATCCTGGATAGTGGAAAAAGTTATAGACTCTCACAGAGTGAAAAACTGACTTGTGAAATATAATAAAGGATCGATTTTCAGGCATAGAATAAGGAGTGGACTCCAGGGAAATTTCACGTGCTAAATGGGATGAGAGCAAAGCTACACAGTGTTCCTCCTTTCACTAGGCATTATTTGCTCTGTTTTAGTAAAATGTTTAGTAAATGTTGTCTCTGTTACCACTATTCTCAAGAAATGGCTGCATAGTCCAAGTCACCTGTTTTTGTCACATTTAATAAATCCAGTGTGAATTAGTCCAAGTCTGGTTTATTTGCCATGGAAAGAGTTTCACTTTAGACTGTAATTTAGTGGTCGTATCGACCTTTTGATTTCTTTTGTTTTTTTTCCCAGTAATTTGTGTTTTCTCTCATATTTTCTTTTTTTTTTTCCCCCCTGTTTCTGACATGGACATCTTTGTACAATGGCATTTGAAGCTTTTAAGACTATTTTTACTCTTTTTTTTTTTTTATTGTATTGAAACGTAATTGATTATATGCATTTGTAGGATACAAAGTTGAATATCTATACCTGTACATAATGTGTGACAATCAAATCAGGATAATTAGCATGTTTGTTATTACAGAATGTAATCATTCCTTGGATCCATTAACAAATTTCTCCGTAACCCCCCTCTTCCTCCCCCATTTCCACCTTTAGTCACCACAATTCTGTTCTCTCCTTCTGAAAGTAAAAACTTTTTTATTCCTTAAGGAGTTTTTTATGCATTAGTCACCCTTTCAAAATTTTTTCATATACCTGAAGTATTTTAATACTATTTTTAAAAATATTTTAAAACCAGAATCCTCCTTTGGTGTTATTCTAGACCATACCAAGTGGATCCTTACAAACTTTGAAAAGGTATTATGCATTGTCATGCCAACCTCTATTGAAACCTATGGTTACTAGGTCAGGCTTTAGGAATTTTTCCGTCACTCTGAATTTCCTCAGCTGTTAAGCAGTTTGTAGTTTTTGTTGGATGGATTGTTTTATAGCTATTCATTTGGGTAATACCCCAGATGAATAGCTGTAAAACAACCCGTCCAACAAATACACACACACTATACATAAAATACCCAGATGAATAGCTATAATACAGTCCATCAAACAAATACACACACGTATATATATATACACACACACCTGATATGTTCTTTATTTTTTATTTTATTTTATTTTTTTTAAAAAGATGACTGGTAAGGGGATCTTAACCCTTGACTTCGTGTTGTCAGCACCACACTCACCCAGTAAGCCAACTGGCCATCCCTATATGGGATCCGAACCCTTGGCCTTGTTATCAGCACCACATTCTCCCAAGTGAGCCATGGGCCGGCCCATGATGTGTTCTTTAAATTATTAACTTTATTTATTTATTTAATAGGTTTTTTTTTTTTTTTTTCCTTTTTGTCTTTTTTCGTGACCGGCAACGGATCGCAACCCTCAGTGTCGCACCTGTACTGGACCGGGACCGGCAACGGGATCGCAACCCTCGGTGCTGCACCCGCACCTCGCTCAACCAGTGAGCGGGAACCGGTCTGTATGTGGGATCCGAACCCTTGGTGGGAGCGCCGCCACGCTCCCAAGCGGCGCACTGTAGCAGTGTGCCACCGGGCCGGCCCCAATAGGTTTTTTTTTTTTTTAAATTTTATTTTGTCAATATACAATATGGATGATTATTGTGGCCCATTACTTAAACATCCCTCCCTCCTCCCTATCCCCCCCTCCCTCCCAGCAACCTCCTTTCTGTTCGCTTGTCGTTATCAACTTCAAGGAATTATAATTGTTGTGTCTTCTTCCCTCCACCCCCCGGGTTATTTGTGTATTTATTTATTTATTTTTAGCTCCCACAAATAAGAGAGAACATGTGATATTTCTCTCTCTGTGCCTGACTTGTTTCACTTAATATAATTCTCTCTAGGTCCATCTAAATTATTAACTTTTGAAGGTACATATAATGCCTTGTGTATCTTTTACATTTCCTTTAATTCCATAGTACTTAGTGGTATTGAGTAATTGTTAATCTTTTATTTTAGGTGACATAAATATTACACCTCGTGCTGGAAGTGAACATGTCAGTGAAGGTACAGATAATGGTGGTCTCCTTTCCTATGTGTCTGCATTCATAGAAAAGGAAGTTGGAAATGACCTTAAATCTTTAAAGAAACTTGATAAACTCATAGAAAAGATGACAGAAAGTAAAATGCAGTTAGAAGAACAGGCAAGTATTAAAACTAATTGAAATAATATTGATAGTATACTCATTATACTTAATATAATGTAAATACAACCACTATTATATATGGAATTTTGATGATATAATTGTGACAAATAGTCTAATCACTTAAAACTGTTTGATAGGTTTTAAAGACCTACAACGTGCTACATACTTTACAAATTATGTAATAGAATTCCTATTGATACGATGTATGTCTTGAAAACATAGTGATAGATAACATTTTACATAGCTTTCCATACAGTGACTTCTAAAGTGCTTTTACAAGTAAGTAATTTCATGGTATACAAAAATGTTTAAACACCATCATTCCAAATTTTTCTAAATGCACACATAGGGAGGAAACATGATAAGAAGTATAACATTATAATGATGGTTATTTCTGAGTGGTTGGTTAACAGGTGATTTATTTTCTTAACTTTTTATGTATCTTCAGGTTTTTTCTTTTACAATGAACATATACTGTAAGAAAAAATTATTTAATAAATAAATGCCATATCTAAAGCATTATCTGGATATCCTACCAAGTCAGTGGTTCTCAGCCTGGGTTTCAATCAAAATCACCTGGGGACCTTTTGCAAAATACAGATGCCCAGCTTTTTGGAATCAACTTTATTTGCTCTTGAAGGAAAATATTTAGTAGGTAAAAGCATGTGAGTGATCTCTGGCTAAACCCTCTGAAAGTGCTAAGCCTAGAGAGACAGATCCGTAGAGGCTTACGGGGGCCAGTGTGATAGACTCCTCCCTACCCTTGTATGTATGTATATATGCATGCTTGCTTCACATAACAGCATTTTATATTTGGGTTTGGTTGGTACAGGATGAAGAAATCAAACCTTTCTTTTGGAGTTTTTAATGGGCAATTTTCAGTTCTGTTAGAACAAATGTGTATTTTGAAGGGAATGACTTAAAGGTTATGAAAATTTTATCTGATTGCTGTTTTTTGGTTTTTTTTGGTATGGTCAGGTACTTACAATGTCATCAGAAATCCCTAAAAGAATTCAAAATGCCTTAAAAAATGCAGAAGAATCAAAGCAATTCCTTAGTCAGTTTCTAGAGCAAGAAAATAATCTCTTCAGCTCCATTAACAGCCATTTGCTGACTGCACAGCCCTGGATGGACGATCTTGGGGCCATGATTAACCAAATTGAAGAGATCAAACGGCATCTCGCTTATCTTAAATGGATTTCACAAATTGAAGAACTAAGGTAAAATGGGTCTCTTTGTTCTCATAATTATTATTTTCCTTTGAGACTTCTGTCTTAGACAATACATGTGTCCCATTAAATAATTGAGTTAATTAAAGATTATAATAATATAATTTTACCAGTTGTTATGAAAATAGCATTATGATAATGATTCTTTTCCTTTATTGTGAGTGAATATAAAGTTTCCAGGGAGCTTAATTTGCATTGGAGAGAAAATAATATAAGTAAGTTAAAATTTTAAGTCTTATGGTTGTATTATGAACACCTGATAAAAACATTTATTTATAATGCCGGATTAATAAAACAAACCCTCAGTGTGATAATAGGTATTCCTAGTTACTTTAATTTTTAGAGATGTTCACTTAAATACATTGCTTTCTCTATGAAGTTTTTTCAGTAGGGATCATCTAATAAGAACTATACAGTATTCTTAGATGAATGACAGAGTTCTGCTACCTGTAGGTAGGAAAGTTAAGACTTGAAGACTTGACCTTAGTTCTTTTTGAATTGAATACATATCACTGGTGGTTGATTGTTAGTACCTCGTATTGCCTTTTAAACAGACTAAAGTAACATTTCCACCTAGACTGGTGGATTATTTGGTTTCATGATATGGTCCCCCAGCACCTCCACATTGTACCTTCCCACCCTTGCTTTGTTTTAACTACTCTTGCTACAAAGCTGTCAGCAACCATTAATGTTGTCTAAAAAACCTGAGGGAGAAAAATCACCCAAGAGTCTTAATGTCCTGTTTCAAATGTATCTTAGTTAACGTATTTAATGTTATGTTACGTATTTATGGATATGTTATGTATCCCTTTGTCTTGTACATGTTTCCCAAGATTTTAAATTCCTTTTTTTTGGGGGGGGGGGGGGGGGGGGGGGTGGCAGTACAGGGATCTGAACCTGTGACCT